GCTCAGAGCTTTGACCCCCCACTTCGCGGCTGGGGCCCAGGCTGTCCCCCCGCCCCGGCACCCACCTGGGCCGTCCGCGGGCAGGGCAGCCTCCACGCAGTAGCCCCAGGCCCTGTCGCGGTCATAGTTGTGAGTTGTCGCACACCTGGGGAGCAGTGTGAGCGGTCACGAGGCGTCCGAGCCCCCGTGGGCAGGCCGGACCCGGCCGGACGATGGCCTCTGCCCCAGACGGAGCCTACCACTTCCTGTGGGCGCTTCCCTCCGAGGTGCAGGAGTGCACCACGCGGCCACCATAGCGGAAGGGGAATCTGCAGGGCTGCCCGGCCTCCGTGAGCACTGCAAGAGCCCAGAGCGAGGTCCCCCACCGCCCAGCCCCCCCCAACAGACTCCCGCCTGCGCCACCCGGAGGGCCTTCCCCGGAGCCTGCTCACCTGGGCCCTGGGGGCTGAGGCCAGAAGGGGCTGCCTTGGGCAGAGGAGAGAGACCCCCACTTTGGGACCCCTGGGTCACAGCCTTCGGAGCCCCAGTGGCTGTGGCCTCGGGGGTCACAGAGGTCGCAGGGACTGTGTAGATCCCAGGGATGTCCGTGGCATTCGGTCCCTGGGGATCCGTATGGTTCTGGTGGCATCAAAGGGCAATGGGTACACTGTGGGAGACCCCTCCCCCCAGCCCGCCCACCGTGCGGGCAGGCGGCCAACACCAAGCCTTGGTTTCCCTCTTGGGGCCTCTGAGAGACACTGACTGTTCCCGAGGCCTGAGCTGGGCCTCCACCCCCAGCCCGGTCACTCAACTGCTGGCCCCGTGGCACAGCCAGAGAGCCAAGCTGCCCCTCGGGAAGTCCTGGTGTGGCCAGAAAGAGCTGGAGACCCTTAGAGTGCCCCACCCCTGGCCTTCAGCCTGGCCCAGCGGAGGCGGGGCCCCACAGCCACAGGGCGAGGTCGAATGGGGCCAGTGGGCCCAGGGGAGGCCTCGTGGGGCCAGGCCCCCGGGCGCCCAGGCCTCCTACACTCTGTGGCTCCTGGCAAGGACCGGCTTTCTGCTCCCAGCCGAGCCTCAGCCCACTCCACGCCGCTGTCCCGACCCCTCCCACCTTTCCCCGGAGCCCAGAGCAAGCCCAGGGTGTGGTTGGGCACTCACCCCGCTGGCCAGGGGCCCCCGCAGCAGCAGCAGCAGCAGGATTGCACAGGGTCCGGGGAAGGTGGGAGAGCAGGGCTTGGGGACCCAGGCCGGGCTCCCCATGGCTCCTCCTGGCTGGCCACAGGGGCGGTGGAGGCGGGAGCAGGGCTGCGAGCAGGTGGGGTCAAGGCCTCGCGGCAATGATTAACCCCGGCTGTCTCCATGGCCCCGTGGGGAGCCGTGCACCCCCTCCCACCCCTGCCCTGCACCCTGCTCTGCCAGTGGCTCCCACGGGGCTCAGCCTGGCTGCGCTTGGACGCCAGCCTCACGCTCAGCCTGGAGCCTTTCCGGGAAGTGTGTGGGGCCACATGGACAGGACAGGCCTGACCCTGGCCAGTTCGAGCTGGCTCCGGGACCCCTGGCCGGCTCCAGAACCCCCCAGACGGCTTCAGATCCCACATAGGCTAGAGAGCTGAGCTCTTTGGTGCGTGACCCCTGCGCTGAGTCTCTGCAGGCCCACACAGCGACTCAGCGCTGACTTGGCAGGGACTCCTGCCCGAGATGGTGGCCCCACAGCACACAGGGCCAGCTCAGGGAGGGGGCACGCCCAGAGCCGAGCACTGTCGTGAGCCCAGACCGGAGCCCTGGGGCGCCCAGGACCCCTGCAGATGCTCTGCCTCCTCCAGGAAGCCTTCCCACCTCTTGCTGCCAGTGGTGACAGGCTAGAGGACCAGAGCTGGGCCGGCAGTCTCTGGTCTCTGCACCGCACAGCCCTCCTGCCCTGCCTGCAGTCAGACGACAATGCCTGGCCGGACAGCGGTGGGGCCACCTCCAGCCAGCGTCAACTCCCCTGAGACAGCTGTGGCCACACAGCCACACCGGGCCTCCCCTATACTTTGTCCGGGCACTGAAGTTTTTTGTGTACCCCAAACCCTACTCTCTCCAGGCCTCCATTTCTCCCATCTGTGCAGAGAGAATGAAATTGGACAAAGGTTGACACAGGGGGTGCTAAGGGCAAGGTGTTGCAGAAGATAAGATGATACAAAGGCGAGGTGGTGCTGGGTCAAGATGGTACTGAGGGCAAGGTGGTGCTGGGTCAAGATGGTACTGAGGGCAAGGTGGTGCTGGGTCAAGATGGTACTGAGGGCAAGGTGGTGCTGGGTCAAGATGGTACTGAGGGCAAGGTGGTGCTGGGTCAAAGCGGTACTGAGGGCAAGGTGGTGCTGGGTCAAAGCGGTACTGAGGGCAAGGTGGTGCTGGGTCAAGATGGTACTGAGGGCAAGGTGGTGCTGGGTCAAAGCGGTACTGAGGGCAAGGTGGTGCTGGGTCAAAGCGGTACTGAGGGCAAGGTGGTGCTGGGTCAAAGCGGTACTGAGGGCAAGGTGGTGCTGGGTCAAAGCGGTACTGAGGGCAAGGTGGTGCTGGGTCAAAGCGGTACTGAGGGCAAGGTGGTGCTGGGTCAAAGCGGTACTGAGGGCAAGGTGGTGCTGGGTCAAAGCGGTACTGAGGGCAAGGTGGTGCTGGGTCAAAGCGGTACTGAGGGCAAGGTGGTGCTGGGTCAAAGCGGTACTGAGTGCAAGGTGGTGCTGGGTCAAAGCGGTACTGAGGGCAAGGTGGTGCTGGGTCAAAGCGGTACTGAGGACAAGGTGGTGCTGGGTCAAAGCGGTACTGAGGGCAAGGTGGTGCTGGGTCAAGATGGTACTGAGGGCAAGGTGGTGCTGGGTCAAAGTGGTACTGAGGGCAAGGTGGTGCTGGGTCAAAGCGGTACTGAGGGCAAGGTGGTGCTGGTCAAAGCGGTACTGAGGACAAGGTGGTGCTGGGTCAAGATGGTACTGAGAGCAAGGTGGTGCTGGGTCAAGATGGTACTGAGGGCAAGGTGGTGCTGGGTCAAAGTGGTACTGAGGGCAAGGTGGTGCTGAGTCAAAGTGGTACTGAGGACAAGGTGGTGCTGGGTCAAGATGGTACTGAGGGCAAGGTGGTGCTGGGTCAAAGCGGTACTGAGGGCAAGGTGGTGCTGAGTCAAAGTGGTACTGAGGGCAAGGTGGTGCTGAGTCAAAGTGGTACTGAGGACAAGGTGGTGCTGGGTCAAGATGGTACTGAGAGCAAGGTGGTGCTGGGTCAAGATGGTACTGAGGGCAAGGTGGTGCTGGGTCAAAGCGGTACTGAGGGCAAGGTGGTGCTGGGTCAAAGCGGTACTGAGGGCAAGGTGGTGCTGGGTCAAAGCGGTACTGAGGGCAAGGTGGTGCTGGGTCAAAGCGGTACTGAGCGCAAGGTGGTGCTGGGTCAAAGCGGTACTGAGGGCAAGGTGGTGCTGGGTCAAGATGGTACTGAGGGCAAGGTGGTGCTGGGTCAAGATGGTACTGAGGGCAAGGTGGTGCTGGGTCAAGATGGTACTGAGGGCAAGGTGGTGCTGGGTCAAAGCGGTACTGAAGGCAAGGTGGTGCTGGGTCAAAGCGGTACTGAGAGCAAGGTGGTGCTGGGTCAAAGCGGTACTGAGGGCAAGGTGGTGCTGGGTCAAACGGTACTGAGGACACGGTAGCACTGACTTCCTTCGTAGGCAGTCTACCAGGGACTGCTCTCTGGACCCATCCACAGCAGCACACTGTGGGTTGGGCTCCTGGATGACTTCTGACACACAACGCAACCAGGATGGTCACCAGGTAGACCTCCGCCTCCCCAGCAGCTGCTTACTGCTGAGGCTTTCCCCGAAGGCTGAGGCACTGTCCTTGTGTTCAACCCCACCCTGTGGCACACAGCTTTCTCCTCCTGGCAGGGCTCTTGCCATAGCTGGAATACTCTGTCCAGGGCCTTGCACATGCCCGATCCTCTTTCTGGACCTTGAATGCAGTCAGGCTTCAGCTTGGATTGTCCCTACAGAGATGCCCTCACGACCACCTGCTAAGAGGCCGAGGTCAGGGTGCAGGGACTGGGGCCAGAAGACCCCAGGCTGGTGCCCAGGAGTCAGAACACTGACCAGCCACGTTCTACCCCACCAGCAGCCAGCCTAGGCCTGAGACAGAGTGGGGCACACATCAAAAGACAGGATTAGCCAGGGGGTGGTGGCTCAGGCCCGTCATCCCAGCTGCTCAGGAGACTGAGGTCTGAGCATCAGGTGCTGTCAGCCCAGGCAGACAAATCTGAGACTCTAATCTTTAACCATCAAAAAGCCAGAAGTGGAGGTGTGACTCAAGTAGAAGCGTACCAGCTGAAATGGAGCAAGGGCCCAAGACCCTGAGTTCAAGCCTTAGTACTGTCAAAAAAAAAAAAAAAAGCCAGATGCCGGTGGCTCACGCCTGTCATCCTACTCAGGAGGCTGAGATCTGAGGATCTCGGTTCAAAGCCAGCCCGGGCAGGAAAGTCCATGAGACTCTTATCTCCAATAAAAACCACCAGAAAACCAGAAGTGGTGCTGTAGCTCAAGTGGTTGAGTGCTCGCCTTGAGTTGCAGAGTTGAGGGACAGTGCCCAGGCCCTGAGTTCAATCCCCATGACTGACAAAAAAAAAGACCAGGCCCAATCTGCAAGGGACAGGGAGAGGAGGTCAGGGTCTGGGCCTGGAGGCTCTCGGGCAGTCTTCGTGCCCTCCCACAGGGCTGGGAGCCAGCGTCCTCTCCTCCACTTCCTTGGCCTCCCTGCTGGCCTCCTGGGGTCCCTGTCTCCTGGGCTGACACTCCGCATGTTCTCATCGAATGGGAAGCTCTGCCCGCCCCCAGGCACTCAGCACGAGGCCAACACACGATGTGTCCTCAAAAATACTTTATTTGTGGAGGTTGAGGCCCGGCCTGGCCCCCGAGTGTGGTGAGGACGGCTCATGTCCAGGGCCTCTGGACTGTGCGTCTGAGATGGAGGCCGGGCCAGGCTGGGGGGGCGGGGGTGAGGGCAGCTTCAGACAAAGGTGGCGTGGTGCGTGCCGGTGTGCGCGGAGGGCTCACCTGGGACGGGGCTCGGGCCGGGACGGTCTGACGTCTGCGGCCCACCGGGCCTCCCCCGGGGACCCGGCCGCAGCCCCAGCCCGGGGCCTGGGCCAGTGACGAGGTCCACGTCGATGATCCTGTTGACCGGGAGGCCCTGGCTGCCACGGGCCCTGCCCCCTGCCAGGGGAGAAGAGAGGCTGTTACCCACCTGGCCCGGCCCTGGCCTTCCAGCGCTCACCCCACAGCCACGAGTGCTCACTGAGGCCCTCCAGCCAGGGCCCAGGCCAGGCAAGAAGGCCGAGGAGCATCGGCTTCCCAGATGTGGAGCTGCTGCTGGACCCTCCTCAGAAAGGTCTCAGAGTCCGCCAGCACGTCCGCAATCCCCAGAGTGCCCAGCACCCCCTGGCCACCCAGAGCAGACCGCCACCCAGTGCTAGCCGGGCCCCGCGCCGAACCTCGCCCCACCTGGCAGCCTCCACCCAGGAGCTGCTGGTCCCCGTGCTGATCTGCCCGGATGTCCGGCCTGGTCCCCGGTGACACTGGGGTGCCAGCCCTGCCCTGGCCAGGTCTGTGAGTGGGGAGCAGCAGGCACAGCTGCTGCAGGCGGATATAGGGGAGTTTAGGCCTGGGATCAGTTGGCCTCCAGAGAGTGGGGCGTGGAGAGCCGTCTCCACCAGGCCCAGCCCCTCGGCACCCCACCTGCCCCCATACAGCCTGGCCCTGGCCTTGCCTGCGGTCCGCCCGCCTGGCTGCTGGGTGGGCACAAGCCCCTCCGGTCTTCCCCGCCCCCCCCACCCCCCCGGCCTCCTCGCCCCAGCCGGCTCAGGGGCGTGTGGTGGCCCCTCTGGGATGGACGCCGGTGCGTTTCAGCCAGCGGGCAGTGGTGGGCCCGGAGTGCTGCTCGGCGTAGGCCGGGCCGCCCTGAGCAGGCGCTGTGGGGACCGCGGGGAGCAATCCTGCTCCCAGGCTGTGAGAACTGGCGTGCTCCACTCACACCCCAGCCTGTTCCCTCTGAGCTGCACTGTGGAGGCCCTGACCCCCTCCCTCTCCCCTTCCCCGGGGGCCGGGCAGCAGAGGGGGGCCTCTCTGGCCTCTGCATCGTGAGCACTCCAGAGCCAGCACGTGGAGCCAACAAGACCGGAAGCCTCTCCCTGTCTTCAGTCCTCTGGTCACTCTGCACACATCCTGCCAGCGCTCCGGGGTCACGGCTCGCCCCTCCTGGCCCCTACTTTCCACCAGGCTACAGGGCCGGGGCCTGCGGGGCTGCGTGTCTGCCTCCTGTGCCCGCGGGCTGTGCTGGGCCCTGCCGTGTCTGTGGCTGGTGGGGGGGGGGGCTGAGGAGGGGCGGCCGGTCCAGGCTCTTCCCACAGTCCCCACCGGGCCTGCCCTGAGGAAGGGGCCACCGTAGCCCCCCATGGGCCCCGGCCAGGAGGCAGGACAGGCCTTAGCAGGGCCTGCCTTGTGCCCTCTGCCCCAGCTCCCCCACGACCTTCCCTCCCAGCCTGCCCCTTGGCTGACCAGCCTGCCAGCTCATGCCTGCGGCTCTTCACCCACCCCCGATGCTCGGAGGCCTGACAACCGGGATGCCCTCCCCTGCCCAGCGGGCACCCCTGGGCCACTGCCGTGACTCTGGCCGCTCTTCACCACCCACAAATGCTCTCCATGAAGCTATGTCTGCTCTAGGCTGGGTCCTGCCACCCCCCAGACACAGGCGGGGACCGGACACAGGAACGGGCACCGGCCCCTCAGCCACCTCCCAGGCCCTCCCTGGGCCCCATCCAGGCTCTGTCCACAAGCCTTTCCCGGGTGCTGTCCAAGGCCCGGGCTCCTGCCGGATGGGACCCTCGGAGAGAGCCCCACGGAAGCCCGGCCCCCAGCCCGGGATGCGGCTTCACCACCGGCCTCCCCGGGCCCCACTCCAAGACCTCCACACTCTGCGAGGGGTGGAGCTGGCCTGAAGTTCCTCACTCAAATACTGACTGGGCTCAAAGGGGGGGGGATGGACACAGCCAGGGAGGACGGCGCCCCGGGGCCGCAAGGTAGACAAAGATGGGAATGGGGTCCAGAGGGAGACGCTGAACACGCGTGGCCTGCAGGGGGCGCTGCGGAGCGCTGCTGGCCAGCCCCGCCCCAGGGGGCAGAGGCCAGGGAGCCCATCCAGGAGGGGGCGGGGCAGGCTGGGGCCTGTGGACGCTGCGGTGGACGCAGCTGGAGGGCAGGTTGTCACCAGTGGGGGCAAGGGGGTCAGCCAGCTCTGAGAGCCATGGGCAGCGGGTGTCCGCCAGCACACCCGTAGGGAGCGCCTGGGTGCCAGGATGGTGACCGTGCGGGCAGGAGTCGCGGCAGCCTCGGAGGGGGGTGAGGTCCGGGTGCCTGGCGAGGCAGGCGTCCGAATGGGAACCCAGGCCCGGGGACACCGCGTGGATGCCAGGCAGAGGACCCAGGCCAGGTTGGGCCTGTGCTGGCCTTGGTGCGACGCCACGCAGGGCAGGGGTGTGCCCTGTTGGGGAGGGGTCACCGGTGCCAGGTTCCTGGGCTCCTGCCACAGGAGGCTAAGAGGTCCCAATGACCCCATCCCTGGAGCACAGAGCCCCCCAAAACCTCACTCCTAGGCTCAGCTGGTAGAGAGGAACATGGAAGGACCTTGTAAGAAGCACCACAGGCCCCCAGAACGACTCCATGGCCAGACACCCCCCTACCCCTACCCCTACCCCCCCGGGAGACACTGGTAGCTGAGCTACCCGGACACAAGGCCTCTCCTCAGGAGCCCTGTCCCAGGATAGCCCTCTAGCCCCCGGGGAGCTAGAGGACCTCACTGGCCTCCGTCTGCAGCCAGGAAACTGAGGCTGGCCTCCAGTGGCTGCGGCGGGGGACAGGAACCCTCCGGGATGCGCATGGGACAGGTCCTGGAAGGGCTCAGATTCCCCTTGCTGCCCCTGCGACCCTCCCCGCACCGTTTCTGGCCAGGCACTCTCCAAGAGCCAACCAGACCTGACCTCTGACCCATCACCACCTCTTCCTCCCGGGAACAAGGTGCCAAAGGCAGGGTCCCCACGCCCTCCCGCGGATGTGGGAGTGCATCCTACTGTCTCACCCGGAGCAGGGGCCTTAGTGGCCCTGTCACTGAGACATTCCACAGCAGTTGTTAGACACCCCGAGAGCAAGTCCGGGTGGAGCCTGCACTGGTAACCAGCATGGGGCAGGTCCAGGGCAGAGCAAGGCACACCAGGAAGCGCTGGCCAAGGAGCTGAGTACGCACACACAGACACGCACGCCAGACCCAGACAGACAGACACACACACACGGAGACATGTGCAAGGCAGACAGACAGACACGGAGACATGGGCACAGCAGACACACACGCACACGCAGACACACCCACAGCAGACACAGACACACACACACACACACACGCACATGCAGACACACCCACGGCAGACAGACACACAGTGACACACACACGGCAGACCCAGACACACACACACACACGGAGACGTGCAAGGCAGACACGGAGACATGGGCACAGCAGACACGCACGCACACGCAGACACACCCACAGCAGACACAGACACACACACACACACACACACACACACGGAGACGTGCAAGGCAGACAGACACGGAGACATGGGCACAGCAGACACGCACGCACACGCAGACACACCCACAGCAGACACAGACACACACACACACACACACACACACGGAGACATGTGCAAGGCAGACAGACACGGAGACATGGGCACAGCAGACACGCAATCACACGCAGACACACCCACGGCAGACAGATACACACACAGTGACACACACACGGCAGACCCAGACACACACACTCACACAGACATGCACAGCAGTCACACAGTGACACACACATGCAGACAGACAGAGACTGGTACACTCATGACAGACATGCTCATGGACAGATATACTCACAGAGAGGTATGCGCACAGCAGACAAGCTCATGGACAGGCGCCCTCATGGCAGACACGCCCATGGCAGACACACAGCACACACGTACAGGGACAGACACAGGCACAGCAGGTATCCCTCCCCCACCTGGGCCCTCTCCCACAGACAATCCTGAGAGGCCTGCACCCATCCAGGCGGTGACTCGCAGCGGATCATAGTGCCCACAGCTGTCTGGCAACACCACAGCCTCCAGCCCGGTCCTGCCAGGGCCCTGGTCTCCAGGCACAGGGCACAGCCAGCTCCTGCCCCCTGCCGGCACATACAGGGTACTCCAGCAAAGGCGGCCCGGCCGGGTGCCACGCTGAGTGCTGCTGCCCCTGCCCAGTACCTCGATGGTTGGAAACCTGGTCCTGTGTGGCTAAACGACATGGCGTGGCTCTCCACGAAGCCGGCTGCACCCCACAGAGGGGCACAGAGCCAGCACATGCAGCCACACCATACCTCCAGTGCGCACCCAGGGGAAAGAGCTCCACAGCCGGCCCCAGAGCAGATCTCAGCTCCTGGCTTGAGCAATTCTGGCAACCTCCGTCCACCCAGCACCACCTCCGTCCCAGAATGCCCCTGTGATGGGAGCTGGTGGCAGCAGGAGCCCAGGTGGGGCCCCTCAGGTGGGAGAGCCATGCGGGGCCACTCCATCCCCACTTTCAAGACGGCTGCCCGGGCGCGCGGTGCCTGCCTGGGGACGGCTGGACAGAGCCAGCGCGAGGGGGCACAAAGCTTTGCCAACTGAACGGTCTGCTTTTTTTTTGTTTTGTTTTGTTTTTTAAGCCAGTGTATTAAGATAAGTCCATTTAATTTCCCAGAAATGTGTGATACTTTCCTAGGGAAGAAACATATCTATACATTTCTAAGTTGTGGAAACACAATTTCAAATGAAAAAGAAAAGAGTTTGAAACTAGTGAGGGTTGAGATCTAGAGTTTATTACTCTCAGAAGGACACAGATCAGAGCACAGGTGGGAACTGCGAACAGGAGCCACAGAGGAGCGGAAGGACGCAGGGCCAGGGGCCCAGGAAGCTCACAGGAGACCTCAGAGGACAGAGTTCTAGGGAGCTCACCCTAGTGCGGTGCCCCCCAAATGCCCAGATGTGTGTGGTGCGCAGAACATGCACTGGCAACAGCTGCTCTGAGCTGGCGGAGGCTGGAGGCCGCGCTGGGAGCAGGGCCTGGCTGCCCCGGCTGCCCACGGCGAGGCACGGCGGGGGCACTGGGTGGGGCGCGTCCACTCGGACAGCCACGTGGGCCCTGGCGAACCCGGCCAGTCCCGAGTGGGACCGGGGAGGACGCATTCCTGCCAGGGGTCATGCTGTTCACCTGCACACACTAAACTTCATGCTTTCATCCGGAAACTCCTGGACACAAACACTCGAGACTGGCGAACGCCACGGGAGGAGCAGCACTGGCCCAGGGCGCAGCACGCCGCCCGGGGCACGGCAGGGAGCCAGTGCCACCCACGCAGCTGCGGGCCGGGCCGGGGCCCCGGGCTCTGCGAACACAGGGGCTCGCTGACTTGCTCGGGGTGGATGCTAGTTACAGTTCCGACTTGAGACTGAGACACTGAAAAGCCAGCTGTGTGACTTCAAAGAGTAATCCACGTTTCAGACTGGCGCTGCCCAGGCCGTCCCTGAGCCCGGCTCCCCTCTGCCTGCGCCCCGCGGCGAGGTGGCCCGGCGGCTCGGCCCTCAGCTGCCACCCACACCCGCGTCTCAGAACCGGCAAAGGAGGCCGTCCCACACAAGGGCAGGGCAGGGCAGGGCCACGCTGTCCCTTTTACCCCCGAGCAGCCTGGGCGCAGCTCAGAACTTGGAGGTACCTGGCTTCGGGGGTCCAGGGAGGTCCTGGGGGCTGGGGGGCAGCAGTGTGCTGTTGGGGCTGCTGATGTCCCCTTCTGCCACCAGGGTCAGGTCGGCCACATGCTCCTCCTCCACGGTCTGGATGCCCCCAGCCTCCGCGTCTGGAGATGGCCTCCTCCAGACCTGTGTGGTGCCGTCCTGCCGCGGGGAGGGGCTCAGGGGCACCCCAGGGGGCTCCGGGGCGCTGTGGGCCGAGCTGGGACTCTGGGCTGAGCCTGGGCTGGTGGCTGGGCTGTCGCTGGGGTCTGGGGCTGGCTCCCAGCTGTCCCCGCGCCGGGCCACTCTCCCCCGGCCGTGGCTGGCTGCGGCTCTCTGGCTGAAGCCCTTGGCAGGGGCCGGCTCCGTGGAGCCGGGAGGGAGGCGGAGGAAGTCAGGCAGCACCAGGTCCTCCTTCCTTAGCAGTCCACGCTGGTCATCTGCTCTGTTGCTCTGAGCTTTGGAAATGAGCTCAAAAAACTCTGTCGGAGGAAAACCAAAAGAACGTCTGTGTTTTAGACTTCAGGGAGGCTGGCTGGGGAGGGGGAGGGGGAGGGCCGGCCAGCCCGCCCGCCCTCCCGCAGGGGAGCTGCCTGCTGCCCTGCGCTCCAGCCGCCAGCCAGCAGCAGTGAGCCGCAGTGTCAGAGCAGAGCCCAACACCCGGCTGCTCGCACAACCTGTTTTTGCCGTGTAAAACAGCTAGCTGTAGGACACCCTGCAAACCACACTGCGAAGTCCCAGCCCAGAAAGCTCAAAACAGCACTGTGGGTGCTGGGTGCTCCGTAGGGTGCTGCTAGAGCTCTGAGTCCACACCAAAGCCCTGGCTCCCTTCTGAGGTCAAGGCAGAAAGGAAGGCCAGATCAGGGCATGACAGAGCCAGGGGCCCTTGCTACAGCTACAGACCCAAAGTTGGAAGCCAGGGGAGGGCCACAGCTAGGCAGAGGGCGTCCCCCCCCCCCCCCCCGCCATCCGAGAGGAGGCCCCACACAGCTCCTCGGGCCCTCAGAGCTTGTAGCCCTGGGCCTGGACTGCTGGCTCCTAGGGAAGGCACACCACCTGGCCCCCCAGAGCCCCTCCCCCTCCTCACTCAGGCTCAGGGTGCCTGAACGTGCCCCGGTGTGGAAGGGGTACAGACTGCACAGACCACAGGGAGCCCCGGCCCCGGCCCCAGTCCCCAGAGCTGCACACGGCCCGCTGGCTGGGAAGCCAAGGGAGGCGGGCGGCATGTGCTTGCTGTGAGGCTGGGGCGCAGGTCTTGCTTTCCAAGCTTCTCCTTGTCATAAGCTGCCAAAGGAAGAACGTGCTCCAGTAATGGCGCCTGTCCCTAGGCCTGCAAGGGCTCCGTGCCGCTCCAAGGCCCAAGGCGGGGGGGGGGGCGGGGGGGGGGGCGGAGGTTAGCAAGCCATAGGCCTTCCCGGCTCGGACCCCACGCTCCCTCCTGGCAGCCAGCCACGTCCGGGAAGGCCTCTACCCACCCCGGCTCACGTCGGGGGAGGGGAGAGAGGCTGCAGCAGTCACAGCCACCTGGGGTTGTGTGGCCTCTGGGCGCCCGCTGCCACAGACGGGCGAAGGGGCTGCTGGATGGACAGAAAGTGGCAGTGCATTTACTGAAAACCAGGGTTTAAAGAGTACACATACCCTCAGCTTCGTCCAAATTAATTTTCTGATATTTTTTTTTCCCAATCTTTGCAATAGATTCTTCTCTCTTTGAAAGCCGGGGATCCCTAGCATTTTTTCCATTTTCTCCTTTTATTTTAATAGAATTAGACTTGCCTAGTGTTCTTTCCTCTCCCTGCATTAGAAGGAAAGTCAAAGTTCTACTTACATTTCAACATAGGACAATACACAATTCATCTGTTATACCTGAGACACAGGGGGCATTGATACAGAATTTTTAGATGCATTGCAGAAAATCAATCACAATAATTGCTTACAACAAGCACGGTACGTGTCCCCACCACCACTGCAGAAGAAAAGAAAGCCGAAGACCCAGCCGAGTGAGAGCCAGCCTTGGGGGAACCGAGGGGAGACCCCACGGGGTGTGGCGCCCACCCCTGACAACAGAGACTCCCCCAGACACAAGCGCGGCCGCAGGGAGCCCAGCCGGGGGGGGGGGGGCGGAGGGGCAAGGAGCTGAGAGCTCTGGGAAGGGCGGGAGTGGCAGGGAGGCCAGGGGTGCAAGGGAATCACCGTGGCTGCGTGGCTTCTGGGACTGGAGCTCGGGGCGGCCTTCTGCTTGCCCGGGGCGCCCTTCTGTTTGTCTGTGGATGCCAACACCAAGATGAGCTTTATAGTGGCAGAGGCTCACCACGCCGGCACGCAACGCCCGCCGCCTTTTCTGCCTTGGAAAGCAAAGCAGCAGAGAAGCCAGAGGTGCCCGGGCCTCCCCCGCCCCGTAGAACCACGGCCCTCGGCCTCCCCATCCTGCTCACCCCAGCAGGCCACGGCCCTGGGCCTCCCAGGCCTCCATCCTCCTCCCCACCTCCCCCACCCCGCAGATCCACGGCCCTCAGGTCTGCCCGGCTGGCGGTGGATGGGGCACCGCAGCGTGCTGCGCAAGTGTGCCGCCTGCTTTTTGGAGCAGCGAGCTGGACCCCGTTCCATACGCGACTGCCTGCGCACTCCTTGGGAAGTAAGTTTTACAGTCATGACAAACGGGTCCAGCCTGCCCACTCCCTGCAGGCCCGAGCAGGACAGGAGGCTCGTATCCACCTGTACCCAAGTGGGGGGTGGGGGTGGGGGCAGTGAGGCCACACCCCCCAGTGGGCGGAGCCCTGGCCTGCACTCAGCCCATGGCATCCAGGGCGGGGGCGGGGGGGGGGCAGGCCCTCAGCCCATCGCCTCCAGGGCAGGGGGGGGGGGGTGGGAGTGGGCAGGCCCTCAGCCCATGGCCTCCAGGGCGGGGGGGGGGGGGGGCAGGCCCTCAGCCCATGGCCTCCAGGGTGGGGGCAGGGGGGGGGCAGGCCCTCAGCCCATGGCCTCCAGGGCGGGGGGGGGGGGGCAGGCCCTCAGCCCATGGCCTCCAGGGCGGGGGGCGGGGGGGGGGGGAGGTGGGCAGGCCCTCAGCCCATGGCCTCCAGGGCGGGGGGGGGGGGGGGGGCAGGCCCTCAGCCCATGGCCTCCAGGGCGGGGGGCGGGGGGGGGGAGGTGGGCAGGCCCTCAGCCCATGGCCTCCAGGGCGGGGGGGAGGTGGGCAGGCCCTCAGCCCATGGCCTCCAGGGCAGGGGGGGGGGGGCAGGCCCTCAGCCCATGGCCTCCAGGGCGGGGGGCGGGGGGGGGGGAGGTGGGCAGGCCCTCAGCCCATGGCCTCCAGGGCGGGGGGGGGGGGGGAGGCCCTCAGCCCATGGCCTCCAGGGCAGGGGGGGGGGAGGTGGGCAGGCCCTCAGCCCATGGCCTCCAGGGCGGGGGGGGGGGGGGGGGCAGGCCCTCAGCCCATGGCCTCCAGGGCGGGGGGGGGGGAGGGGGGGGCAGGCCCTCAGCCCATGGCCTCCAGGGCAGGGGCGGGGGGGGGGGCAGGGCCTCACTGCAGCAGAGGTGGTGGGAGGAGGCAGCTGGGACGAGGACTGAGCAGGAGGGACGCACCCCCACCTGGTCGGCAGCACGGGGACAGGCCTGCACCGCCACCTCACAAACAGCCCTCGGGGTCGCTCCTCCGTACAGAGTACCCCAAGGCAAATTTCTAGAAAATTCCTCCCCCACCTAGACAGTCCCTGAGTCACAAAGGGGCCTCGTGTCCCTTATGTCCTGCAGACTGAGTGTCCTCATGTCTGTTCTACCAGAGGGACAGTCCTGGAATGGCCCCAGCTGAATGGCCAGGAGGCCCTCGGGGCCCTGCCCAGCCTGGTGGTGGCAGGTGGGCAGCACCCCAGCTGAGAGTACGGCCAGGGCGCCCCCTCCCCTCCCTCCCCTCCCTCCCCTCCCTCCTCTCCCCCCCCCCCCCCCCCCCCGCACGAGGGTCCTACGGCAGTCGGAAGACAACAGCCACTCACCAACAGCGGCAGCAGGCTGGAGGCAGGGGCAGGGGACACAGGCCAACTCACCTTTCCCTCTGCAAGAGTCTTTCTCCTCCAGGACCACCCGCTGTCCGTCCAGACTGGAGATAGGGGCACCGAGGTCCAGGGGCTCCATCTCCCCGCTCTAGAGACAAAGGGGACACACTGGATCATTTACTGAGGTTGGAGCTTTCTAGAACACTTGCTCACAGCCCAGCCACTGGGTGCAGGAATGACCCAGGCTTAAAGGCATCTCATACGGGGTGCCCCCGGCGCCAGGGCCCTGAGGGCCGGGCCGGGCAGCCCTTCCCGCAGTCACGTGACGGGGGCAGAGAGGCCATGCTGTGAGCACGACACGTTCTGGGAGAGACTCGAGTCTGTCTCCCGCTCACAACCCCGTCAGCGCTGGCCTAAACCTCCCTGCCTCCTCTCTTCCTAAACCTGTGAGGAGCAGCCCAATGGAAATCAGGGCACAGGTGGGTGCCCTGCCTTTGCTCCGAGCGCCCTCTGTCTTGCCAGTCACTCTGGCTGCTCCCTCACCACGACCGCTGTTTGTAACAGGCGGGCGGGCCGCCGTGGCTCGCTCCTGCAAGCCTCGCTCTCAGGATGCTGAGCCCTGAGGACTGCGGTTCAAAGCTAACCCACGGGGCTGGGAAGGTGGCTCAGTGGTAGAGAGCTTGCCTTGCATGCCTGAGGCCCTGAGTTCGATTCCTCAGCACCACATAAACAAAAAGAAAAAAGCCGGAAGTGGCGCTGTGGCTCAAGTGGTAGAGCGCTAGCTTTAAGCTGAAGAGCTGAGGGACAGCGCCCAGGCCCAGAGTTCAGGCCCCACAACTGGACCCCAAAAAAAAACAAAACAAAAAACAAAGCTAACCCACGCAGTGAAGCCTGTGGGGTTTTATCTCCAATGTACCACAAAAAATCTGGAAGTGGGGCTATGTCCTGAATGGCAGAGAGCTAGCCTTGAGCAAGAAAGCTCAGGGACAGCACCCAGGCCCCAAGTACACATGCACACACACACAGAGGGGTACCTGAACTTCTCGCCAGCATTTTATTTGTTCTTGTTTTTGTTTTTTTTGTCGGTCGTGGGGCTTGAACTCTGGGCCTGGGCGCTGTCCCTCAGCTCTTCAGCTCAAGGCGAGCGCTCAACCACTTGAGCTACAGCCCCACTTCCGGTTTTCTGGTGGTTTATTGGAGATAGGAGTCTCACTGTCTCTCCTGCCCAGGTTGGCTTTGAACCGCGATCCTCAGATCTCAGCCTCCTGAGTAGCTAGGATTACAGGCGTGAGCCACCAGCGCCCGGCCTCACTAGCATTTTAAACTCCCTGTCATTAGGAGTGTGCCTAACCTGACCAGAAAGGCGGGGCTTGAAGGGGCCACGGCTGGCCACACTATGGCCAGCGTCCCAGCTGGACTTCGGTCTGTACACCTGCCAGTGACTAAAGGGGTCACTGACTCCTGGTGTGGAGGAATGCAGGGTTGGGGGGCTGCCTGGGAGCCCCTGCTCACGGAGAAAGACCCCTCGAGCACCAGACAGCCCTCCACACCTCATTTTGCAGATAGAGAAACTGAGGCCCTGGGGCTAAGCGACCACCTAGGCTCTGAGCAGGACGCAGGAGGGAGGCATGCTGGGAGCCGGGCCGGGTCTGCCTCCGCCCGGTACTTCTGGAATCTGGGGCAGGGCAGGCCGCTTCAGGTTCCCCCAGAGCTCGTGTTCTTGAATAATTGAGTAAGTTCCTCTTGTTTGCATCAAAGCTCTCGAGCGATTTTGAAGCCAGTTTGAGAGAAAAGCAACATCCTTAACATCTGTGAAGTCACAGCCAAGGAAGGAGCTGCCGCCTCGGCACACCGCCACGCCCCCGCCGCGCACACTCAGCGCACACTCAGTGTGCTCACAGCAGCGCGGCAGAGACGCCTGCCCACCGCTGCTCCTGACCCGCGTCTCCCTCCTGGGCCCAGCGCACGTGCCAGGCGGCGCCCTGATCCATCAGGCGCAGCTCTAGGAGCGCCCGCCAGCCCGCAGAGGGCTGGGACGGCTCGGGGCCTCTGCGTCTCTGTGAGTTCCCTGAAGTAAAACCTTGGGCAAATGGCAGGTCTTGCACAGCCATGCAAGTGAACAAGGGTTTTTCCCACGGGGGTGGTGTGGAGCGGCGGCGTGCCCATGCCAGCCCCTCACCGGGTCCGCGTTGGTGCAGAGATGGAGGCGCCAAAGAACCAGGCCAGGCCCGTGTGGAGAACACTCACCAGCCTCACCAGCAGGCTGCCCAGGTCCAGGCCGTACTTGGCCACCACAGGCCGCAGCACCTCCGTGACGGGCTTGGTGGGCTTGGCCTTCAGGCCCACAGACCGGTTAATCGGAACGAGATCCAGCCTGAGGGGAAGGGACGAGGGACGTTTTCAGAAACTCACATCAGCCTGCAGTGAAGACCACAGGTCACCTTACGGACAGGACAGGGCACCGGACACAGCACCGCAGTCCTTGCGACCCGCCGGGCTCCGAGGGAGAGGGCCTGTGTGCGAGCAAGCCCACGAGGCCCCTGTGGAACTCTGGGCTGCAGGGACATGCCGCCGGTCCCTCCAGGCACCACAGGCAGAGGGCGCCCCCTCCCTGTCCCACTGTGGTCCTAGAGCCAGGGAGGCCTGCGGGTGGGCAGGCTCCACCTTTGCCAAGCGCCAGATGGGGCACCGACCCAGGGCTGTGCCCGCTGGGGATACGGGCAGCGCCCGGGAGTGACCGCGGCAGGAGGAGCCCGAGGAACAGACACAGCCCCCGGGGCTTCGGAGGCCGCGCTCTGCTCTTACCTAAACAAAGTGCGCTTCTCTAGCCGCAGGTCCCGCGACGCCAGGATGCTGCTGTCCTGGTGGAGCACCAGGGGCTGCAGCACAGAGAGACCGGGGTTAATGTGGGGGTGCGGGCCTGTGGGCACACAGCTGCACACAACAAAAGAGCCGCGTCAAAAATAGCCCGCCGCATCAGCATGCAGCGCTCTGCACAGCGCAGCCCCGCAGCGCCTGCGGGAGGGAGAGGTGGGGGAGGCCGGCAGACTTGAGGCGCCCCGCACAGCGCAGCCCCGCAGCGCCTGCGGGAGGGGGAGGCGGCAGACGAGGCGCTAGCCCAGCCGCACGGGGACGCCCGCGCTCTCGTGGAGGAGCACACGCCTGGCCAGGCAGTACCTTGTCCCCGCCCGCCAGGAAGAGGTCCACGGCGGCCCCGTTGATGCCCTGCCGCTCACAGAGTCCCGCCAGGATGTCTTTGATGGAGAATCCCGACCTGACGGCCACCGAGCAGGAGGTCCCGTCCGGGAGGTGGATGCAGCAGTGCCGGGCAGTCTTGTCCCTCTCAGCCGCCGGGGTTCTGCAGGCCTCGGGCTGTGGGGCAGGGAGATGGGTCACGGGTGCAGAGTGGCTCCCCAGGGAGAGCCAGCGGCCCACCTGCCCCCACACACCCGGGCAGACGCGGCTCTCCACCCAAGCCGTCCGCGCGATGTGGTCTCCAGGGAGGCACAGGAGGCGCAGGAGGCAGGATGGCGGACAAGCCTTCACACCTCCCACCAGGGAGCGTGGCGCCCACCCAGGCCACGGCACAGCACAGACCCTCTCACCCCGTCACCCCCTCCCAACCCGCACTCTCGTTCATCATCACCCCTTCCTGACAGTCTGAGCGTTATTTCCAAACCCAGCTGGCAGAGTGGTGGGCTGGCTGCAAAGATGGCAGCACGACTCCCCGCAAGCCCATGTGGGCCTTGCAGGAAGAGCGGGGCCTCGGGCCTGCCTGGAGGGCACGCGGGGCCGTGCTGGCTCCCAGCTTGGCCCCCCAGAGGCCGCGCCTTGGCCCCTGAGAACACCAGAGACACAGGACTGGACTGGCTGCTGCTGCACAGGTCCCAGGCTTGGGGCCACACAGAGGTACGATGGCCCAGGAGCTTCCAGGCCCAGGGACTTGGGGCAGCAAGAGCGCAGCCAGGGTGAGCAGAAGCTGGCTCCTGGCAAAGCACGGCAGGAGACACACCCTGCGCTAAGCCACTGAGGTGGGGTGGCCAGGCTGCAGAAGAGAACAGGTCTGTGCAAAGCCCTCAGAGCTTGAAACCCTGCGTGGCGCGACTGAAGAAGAGCTCCTCTGCGTGGAAGCAGCAAGCCCCCAAAACTTACCGAGGGCCTCAGGTCCTAGGCCAGCCGCCCAGCCCCTCCCCAGCTGCAAAGGCCAGAACAAGCAGTGGCCAGCAGTCAGCAGAGGAGCCGGGCTGGGCCAGAGCTTGCTCATCGCGGGAGCCAAAAATTAAACAAAGTAGAACACTAGGATTAAAGAAGCAAATGCAAGCTGGATTCAGTCCTCAAGCATCTTATCTGCCAAACAGTGACCCGAGCTGCCTCTGGACCCCTGAGCTGGGGTCCGGTGCCAGCTTCTAAAATGAATGCTGGGTTTTTCACGGGACAGTCTCGTCCGCACAGCCTGCGCCCTGGCGGAGGGGGGAGGGGAAGAGGGGAGGGGTGGGGGAGGGGGAGGGGAGGACTCACCAGGTCCACGCTCCCTGAGGAGGACACGGAGCCCTGCGACTCCCGGCGGCACAGGCTCCCGTTGGCACGAAGGGCATCTTAACAAGGAAACAGCTGGTGTGAACCCAGAACAACAGCCTGAACTGTCCTCATGTAACACAGAGACAGACACAACGCACACAGATACACACAGACACAGACACGCACAGGCGTGCACACACACAGAGACACAGATATGTACAAACATACAGAGGCACAGACACCCAGACACACACAGACACCCAGACACACACACACACACACACACCACCTCCAGTCCCGGGCAGACGGGAGGTGGGAGGCTGCGGCCGGGGGAGGCAGCCCAGCCAGCCCACGCAGGGCCAGCCCTGTGCTCCCAGCGCACCCCTTCACCAGGCTCTGCTCCCGCTCCGAGGGCCCTCTTTGGGCCCCGGCGGCCGTCCCTGTGGACAGCAGCCGAGGCTCTGGCCAGCGGCTCGTCTGACCGTGTGTGGGGCCCGCGGCCTTTGTGTGGTGACTGATGGCCCCTGTGCACCGTGAGGCCCCTCCACAGACAGGCTCCAGGCCCCGTGACCCCCACATGCAGAGATGCTCAGGGCTCCTGTGGGTCCTGGCGGGGGGGGGGTCAGAATGTGAGAATCTGAGGAAGACGCTGTCTCAGGATGCAGATGCCCTTTCCAGATGGTTCTACAGCCTGTCAGTGGTGGTGGAATATATGGGGTGCACAGCCCCCTCCAGGAACTCAGCACCCGGCCCAATGGCTCCACCTCTGTCTGACAGGGCGAGGAAGCCCCCAGGCCCCGCAGCCCCACCGGCAACAGAAGCTGCCCAGAGCGGCCCGGGCTCCCAGCCGGTGACGCGGGCTTCACTGTGACAGGCACGGCCAGGGCACCGCGGGGACAGCGGAGCAAAGAGCCGGATGCCGACAGCACAACATTTTTCACAAATGTAAAAGTTGTTTGCTGACTTGCCCTGACCTAGACAGAAGCTGAGGCACGGCCCCCGCAGGAGAGGGACGCAGCCACCAGGTGTGAGAGGCACGGTGTCCCCGAGACACGGTCCCCACAGGAGAGGGGCCAGCAGTCAGCCACCCGCAGCGTGAGTGGGAGACGCCGCGGGCGCAGTGCGGCCTTTCTCAGTCCTGCAGAGACGGCCTCAGCACTCCTTACTGCACCCCTGCCGCGGCCCGGGGCCCACACGCACCGTGGGCATGGTCCCCCTGCTCCCTCCTCTTCTGGGATCGTCCTGTGCTCCGATTCCTGGACCAGGAGAAAAAGGCCCCTTTCCGCTTCTTCTCGCTGTCCTCGTCGCCCGCATCTTCATTTAGGGATCTTCCTGACTTTGATTTTCCACTTAACTGCCAGAAAATTGGAGCCTCGATTAAATCACTGAAGTCAGGCGAGTGCAAGCAGTTTCCGTCTGTAATCCCAGGGACTGAGGAGGCAGGGCCCTGAGGCAGAGCCGTTCCCAGCGCTCGGGGGCCTCTGGGGTCGGGGAGCCGGGGGGAATGGCAGATGGGGGAAAGGATACCATGCGCTCACTCACAGCCCTGACCTGCCCGACCGAAACCCTTCCCTGCAAATACTTAAGGATATTTTAAAAATGAATCTTAAAATGACTTGGAAAAAACCCACCTCATCTCTAATAAGCCAGCGAAAAGCCAGACTTGGAGCTCAAGTGGTACAGCACCAGCTGTGAGCAAAAAGCCAAGCACTCAGGACCCTGAGTTCAAGCCCCAGAACCAGCACACAGAAAAAAGAACAAAAAGGACAACACTGTAGTGTTGCTTTACGTGTCATGAAGCCAAGGGTCTGAACACAGAGTTGTACACAGAAGAACTCCATGGAACAATCTAGACCCTTCTGTCAGTCAAGGAAACTGCCCTGCCCACCACTGCCTTCCTCCACTGCCTGGGAGTCTGACGCTGCCCTGCCCACAAAGCCAGAGCCCTGGGGACAGCTCCGCGGAGGACGCGGCGGCCTCGTGTCAGCCAGGCCGGCACCTTTTTTGGCGTGGACGCGCTGGAGTGCTCGGAGCTGAGGCTCTGCTTGGAGGCCGGGCTGCTGGGCACCGGCTGGGAGTCCGGGAGGGTGCGGCCTTCCACCTCCGCCAGCACGCACTCTTGGTACATCTGGGATTTCAGGAAGCGAGTGTAGCTGTCAAACTTCATCAGATTGAAAATCTGGGGAGCAAACACCACACAATACCGTGGCAGGAGGAGCCGGGGTGCCCGCCCCACCGGCTGGCCCTGCTCTGAAGACGCTGCCAGCCTGGCACCCCTGAGGCCTGCCCAGGGCCAGGCGGTCCCCGCTTCCCCTCGGGAAGCCAGCCTCTGCGCCCGCTCCGTCACCCCTGCCCTGGGCCAGCCCCACGCACAGGCAAAGCCAGCCGCTCTGCGGACTCGGGCCTCAGCCTTAGAGAGCCCCTGCTTAGGGAGGGGAGACCCAGGTCCGGAGGCAGCCTGGGGTCTCACAGACTGGGAGGCCTCCCCCTTTGCTGTCCTTTTATGTCAGGTCAGTCCGGCACCCCACGGCAGGGCAGCCCCCAGCGGGGCCTGTGAGGTGCATGGTCCAGATGCGGCTGTTTAATGCCACCATGCCACAGAATTTAAAATCACACGCAGGAGGCGGGGGGGAGGGGGGGAAGGGGGGGGGAAGGGGAAAAGTCTCAGGCTGGCCAGCCCAGGCCACACAGTCAGTGCAGGGGTGCCTGGAATTATCCTTGTGGTGGTGGTGGTGGTTTTGGTCTCAGAGCCCGCACTGCACCTCGCGCCCAGGGACCCCTGGGGACCCCCACCTGGAGCTGCTGCTCCTTGAACATGTCGGGGTGCGGGGCGTTGAGGACGTCGTCCGCCAGCTGGGCCTGGCTGTCGATGTTGACTGGGGTGGTGGCCTTGCTGCACAGGAACTTGCTGAAGATCTCCCGAGCTCGGTAGGAAAGCTGAGGGATGGCAGGTCTCAGGGGCGGGGCCTGCGCTCCCAGCACGGCCTCCGCAGGGGCAGGAGGCCCACACTCACGCCCGCCCCGCGTTTCCCGAGTCCCGAGTCCCGGGTGTCTCTGTGAGGGCTCCGGGGCGGCACATGGTGCCCGTGTACGCAGGCCACACCTGAGAGGGAGGCGCCCGGAGACAAGGACCAGCCTGGGGTCGGATGCACAGCGGCCAGCACGGTGCAGCCCTGGGCATCCGCTGGCCCCACGCCCGGATCCGCTCTATCTCCAGCCTACTGAGGCCAAGGCTGTGATGTGGGCTCAGGGCTCACAGCCCTCACACACATTATGTTTAGACGGAGCTAAATGCCATCCGCATTGACAAGTTAATTCTGAAAAAGAAATGACCTTTCCAAATGCGCCGTGTCTCCCACGGTGCCAGCCCGGCCGCCACGGGCAGGCAGGACTTACCTCTTTCTTGTCGTGCGCGGGGACATGATTGAAATATTCACAGGCCTGCCAGAAGAGGATGTTTTCCTCACTGAACTCTTTCCTTAGGAAGTCCTGAAACCGCGGAGGGGAGAGGTCACCCTGCGGCAGGCACCCCACAGCTCAGTGCCGCGCCCGGCTCTTCCCCCATCCGCGGGCCTGCAGCACAGTGAGCGCCCAGCCGGGGCCAGCAGGAGGTGCTCATGCTATCTTCTTAGGAGTGAGTGTCTCTGCAGCTGTCTCTGGGCCGTACCCGGCTGGCACCGGGGCCTTGGGCGGGTGCTCTCCCCCTCCCATCCCAGTCCAAGCACCGGTAGTCTTCAACAGCTGCACTAGGCAGTTAAGTCTCACTCCCAGACATTTACAGGAAACTACAGCTGCACTAGGCAGTTAAGTCTCACTCCCAGACATTTACAGGAAACCCCAGCCAGGCCAGGTAGTACACACCTGTAATCCCAGCACTCGGGAGGCTGAGATGGAGGATCGTGAGTTCCAGGCTGGCCAGACCTCGTAGTGAGACCCTGACTCACTTCAGGCAGAGAGGGGCACACCCTAGGGAGACCGCAGGGCGGAGGGCCGGGGAGCCTGGACCTGACGCTTACTCCGGCTGTCCAGTAACTGGGGGGACCCAGGACAGCGCTGGGTCGGGCTGCTGGTGCCCGCAGGGCGCTATCCCCGCTGAAGCAGCTCTGTCGAGCCCGCGCCCCACCCCTGCTACTCACGGAGAAGTAGCGCACACCCACGGGGTCCTGCAGCAGGCGCTCGAACGACACGGCCCAGCTGGCCACCCTCCTCTCGCATAGGCGCCGGCAGCTGTGCACGCTGGGCAGGCTGGCGTTGCTGCTCAGGCTGTGGTTGCTCACGCAGTCCTTCAGGTCGGCGCCCGTCAACTCTGCGGGACAGCACAGAGCAGCTGCAGCCCTGCCCGCCCCTCCCCACAGTGTGCCCTCCCGGGGGCCACGGGGCCCGTGCCCACTCCCACTCTGCAATGCTTGCTGAGTCACACCACACACAACACCACAACTGGCCCAGCGCGTTCTCGACATACACAGCACTCAGACCCCCGCCCCGGCGCCGTTCACACTTACACACACACACACACACACACGCTCTACACTACACCCACGGGAGGAATGGGAGAATCAGGAAGCTTTAACAGAAGTGAGGGTGCACAGAGCACAAAGAGCAGTGGCGACGCACGGCCCGGACACGCGTGACACGTGCAGGGCAGAGGCGCTGGGTGCAGCGCGAGTCCAAGGAAGGCTGCCACTGCCAGGCGCCGGCAGGCGCGCGGGGCCAGAGACGGCGCTCCGGGGCGACGCCCAGTGTGCACGCAGGCTGCGTCTCAGAGCAAAGACCTCCTGCCATGTCCGCTCTTCGTGGCACTGACAGCACAGAGTTCCTGGTTCAAAAACACACTGCTGTCCAAACACAAACCCCGCCCAGAAGCTGGAGCATGGCTCTGGCCTAGCCCGGGAAGGACGGGCTGAGCAGGCGCTCTAGGGACCACCACGTTCCCCCGGAACGTGTCCCTCTATGGGAGCATCCTGGGTGCATGGGAGCCCGGCCCGGCCGGCGGCACAGGGGAGGCCTTGCGCACCCACCTCCCACGTTCCCCTTGGCTCCCTCCCCAGTTCCGATCCCCAGTGGACCTGCTCCCTGCTCCTGTGTGGGTCAGGCCACGCAGGCGGCCACGGATGAGCCCGGGGCGGGGGTGAGCAGGCCCCTACCGTGCCACCTCCCGCGGGTGGGGCTCCGGGAAGCAGCGGCCCGGGGTGAGCGCAGAGGCCTTCCCAGGACGCCTGGTCCCCAGCACCCTGCCACTCACCTGAGACCCAGCACAGCACGTTGCTGTTGTGGGCCGGGGCAAACCCCGGGACTCAGTCACAGCACTCGGGTTGAGCGGGGGTGGCCTCCACCCTCGTGTCTAGCACGACTGTTCACATGCGGCCCTCATTAGGTTCCAAGCAGCCCCATCTTCTACACACCACAGATGCGCACGTGCAGAGAAGTAACGTCACAAGACCAGCATTTGCACACGGTGAGATTTTCTTTGCACCCACCTTCCCGGCTCCACTTTTGAAATAAGGGAGCGCATGGCCCGGCCCTGGCACAGGGAGGACACCGGGGAGGCCTGGCGCCGGGGCTGGCACGCACACTCTGAGCGGCTCTTCTGGAAGACACTTCAGGGTGGGCAACAGGGCCAGTGCTGAGAAGGCCAGACACTGAGAACCGAGCAGGGTGTGGCTGCTCTAAGCAATGCTGCCGCCCCATCAAGGAACCATCTGGAAACACCTGACATGGAATGCTTGTCCACAACGGAAGCTCCTGTTTCACGTGTGTGAGAGGCTCGGGCCACGCTGGTGTGCACACAGCCCCGTGCACCGAATCCCGATGTGCATTAACAGAGCTTTTGTCAGCCCTGCACCTTCCCTTGGGGCCAGCTCCCCACCCACGACCCACAGTGAGCCGAAGGGCGGGGAGATCTCCAGGCCCACTGTGCACAGCAGGTACACCCCGGGACAGAAGACCAAGTCCAGGAAGGGGCTGAGGTCTCGGGACATGCGGGTCACTGGGTGGAGAGGGTCCCACCTGACCTCCAGTGCACGTGAAGTCAGACCCAGGTGACCAGATTTCAGTGTAAAATGCGATTAGAGACCCGAGGTAGTGCTTGAAGACACCTGGTAAAGACACCTGCACGTGGGGGGTCCCAGCCACACGCCCACGTTGACTGCTGCTCTACTCATGGAAACAGCCCAGTGCCCCACAACAAAAGGCGGGCCACATACACCATGGGACTTGACTCACCCATCAGAATAAGTAATATTATGTCACCTGAAAGGAAATGGATAGACCTCGAAAAAAACTGTTACATCAAGTAAGCCAGGCTCAGAGAGAAACATGGTGCGTGCTTTCTCTCATATGTGGAAGCTCAATCTCAAATACAAACACACGTGGCAGCATATGCAGGCGATGTGCACATGCGCACTGACGGCTAAAGGAGGTCACCGTGGGGAGGAGCCCAAGGATTCTGAACTAATGAATTGTTCAAAAAATGAATACCAGGAAGTAGAAAGATTTGGGGGCACAGGAATGGAGGGAGGAGGGACACTGTGTGGAAGTTGGGGGGGAGATGGCGGAGAACGGTGGACAGGGGGATCCACTCACAGCTGACCTGCGGGCTGTAAGCCCTCTGCACCCACGCGCCTGTCAGTCCCCACACCCTGCTGCAGGGGGGGGGGGCAAGGGGAGAACTCCAGCTCCCGGACAGCCCAGCTCGCGAGCCTGCTCCGGCCCCGCTCCACACCCTGCACCCGGCAGGCTGCACCAGCACGGCCCTGCCCATCCCGGCTCCTGTCTGCCCTCCCAGCCACAAGCCGGCACCCGGGGTGGTCCGGCCCCTCCAGAGCTAGCTGCCGAGGTGCTGTGCTTCCGCAGTGATTGAGTGAATGAACATAGGAGTGCTGACTGGAAATGTAAGCTAAACATGACCCAAACGTTGATAGACTTATCTTTATGAGAAGAGCTAGCCTATACCAAAGGCAGAACTTTCTAGACTCATAAACCAATACAGGCACTTTGAAAGTGTAAGCGAGAAGTGAACATTTTCCTCACACGAAACCAACCTGGACCCTCGAGTGTGTGCGCTGGGCCTCGCACTCAGCTCCTCAGTGTGCACCAGTGCGTGGAAGGCCCAGCCTCGGGTGTGAGGGGGAGCGGAGGCCATCTCTAGGTGTCCGGGCTAGGGACACAACGCTCAGGAAACAAGGGCGTCCTCGCCGAAGCTGTAGACACCGTCCAGCGGAGGGAGGGGGCCGCGCGCAATGCGTGAGGCTGGCTGCCTCCTTCAGACCCTGGGGGCACACCCTCCCTCCCGTGACCAGGAGCGCCCCCGGGCAGGGCTGCGGCCACAAGGCCAACACGGGGGCCTGGAGCAGAGGGGCGTCCAAGGCCAGCGCCAGCCACCCCACATGCTCACAGCCGCCTCCCAGGTCACACAGGTTCAGAGTGGAAAATCAGAGAGGATGACAGAGCCCTTCCACGGACCGTACACAGAATCACACGAGCACAGTATGATCCTACTTGGGTGACTTTTTTTTTCCTGCTTATGTGGTGCTAAGGAATCAAACCCAGGGCCTCATGCATGCAAGGCAAGCGCTCTACCACTGAGCCACCTTCCCAGCCCTGATCCTACTTGGGTAAAATGTGACCACACAAATGGATGGAGCGTGTGCACACACGTGTGCAGAAGGCCGTGGGGGCGTGGATGGAGCGTGTGCACACACGTGTGCAGAAGGCCGTGGGGGCGTGGATGGAGCGTGTGCACACACGTGTGCAGAAGGCCGTGGGGGACAGGCGGCAGCAAGGCCCGTGAGGGTTGTGGCAGAGACACCCTGTGGAGTGGAAATCTCAGCACCATTCTCAACACAACAGGCACAGAAAGTTCCATTCCTGTGGAGCTGCAGTCTCCAGCATGTTCTAGAACTGTCCTCCTGCATGGAAAACTGTGTGTTCACCGAAGGCTTGACCCGGACCCCATGAGTACTGCCCTCTGACGTTCCCTGCGGTCCGACAGCTCGCGGTCCAGCTCGCAGCCCGGCGGCAGGCGACGCGGCCCGGCCGGAGCCACAGCCGTCCACGCCCCCCCCCCCCCGCCCCCTGCCAGCAGCTGGCAGGGGGGATGCACCCTCCCCCCGCTTCCCGTCACCTCAGAGACCTTTTCTGAGGGTTTGTTGTGGGTTTTCATTTTCTGAGTCACCGAAGTGCTCTTCTGGTGAGAGGGTTTTTGTGGTCTGTCAGATAAGCCAGAAAAGCCACCACACTGCTACTGATTGGTTGGCAAAGGGACAACATGTAACAAATTTAAGTGACACCTAAGTTTGGGGCTAGCGTCACAGCACAGGCCCTCAACCCCGCGTCACCTCTAGTCACCCCGCCCAGGTGGCAGGCCGCCGTCCCTGCACAGGCTCGCCCCGGACCACACGGACCCCCTCTCCCCCGCCCCGCGTGGCAGGCAGACCCGCAGGCCGGTGAGGGACTTTACCTGGGCAGAGCCGATACGAGCCGCTGTGAGGCCATTTAGCCAAGTACTTCCAACCGTTCAGCATCAGCCACCCCTCTGCACCCATACCCGGGGCCGTGCAGGGCCATGCTTCCCGGCTCCACTCGGGCCTCCAGGGGTGGCAGCCGCCGCGGCTTCTCCAGGGACAGCCCCGCTCCACAAGGCCTCCCGGGGCGGAGGCTCCACTCCGCTGCCCCGTGCATACATAATTCACAGCTGCTGAATTATTTACACGAGGAGTCAGGAGACAGTGGGGCGCGCACGCTCGCACGCCTGCCCGACGGGCAGAGGCCGAGGCTGAGCCCTGCACGGAGAGCAAGAAACAAACTCCCGGCTTCCAAGTATGAGATTGCTACACTTGTGCCCCTGTGTGCTTCAATGTCAAACACTTTTAATTGCATAAACACAAGTGATCACTAGTGGTCTCTTAGGTAAGAGGCAAATGAACCACGCCAAGCCACGTCCAAAGCAAAACACACCACACGCTGGAAAGCCTAGAGTACTGGAAGCCATGGCCACCCCACAGGCCGACACCGCCCCCACCCCCGCCCTCCCTCCAGGACCTCACCCCAGGACCTGAGCAGAGCCAGGCCACCTTCAGGGCCTCTCCAGGTACAGAAGATCTCCACACACATGGCAGTGCCAGCTTGGCAACTTCTGTGAAGGGCCCATAACCTCATGTCTACTTACTAGCGTGACAACACATGCCCACCCGCCAGCACCAAGAGGCAGCCGCTTCCCTACCCAGCCAGCGCCTACACTGCCCCCACCACCCGCCTCACCAGCCACCCACTGCCGCCTTCCTTCACCTGTGGCCGATCCTCCCCTGT